GACCGCTGAGTCTGTCCTCAGTCCCAGAGATAACGGTAAATGGTTCCTGTGAGTGCTCTTATTAGCACCATAATGTTCTTTTGTTTTAAGCCAGGGGCACTCACTCCTTTTATGCCACAAAGTGCCAGGACTATGGCAGGGCTGCACTTTTTGATTATTTTTAATGCAATAGAAGAAGTGAAGAATTGAGATTGTTATTTAAATGTTTTTTGCTTTTAATTAACAATTTTTGATCGATTTATATAAAATATCTTCCAAATGTTTGGTTTTGCTTCAAAGTGGTGAATACCTTAAGGTGTTTGTGACTTAAATAAATGACGATCAGATTTCAGTCAGGTACAGTCAGGTGAGCAGGTTGGTAGCTAAGGTTTTCTTCACTGAAGAGAGGGGGTTATGGACAACTTTTTTACGGAGCATCTGCCACTTTTGTACAGTCCAGCACTTTGTTTACCTATGGTACAAAATTTCATCAGTGCTTTCTACGGAAGGGTGAAAGTGACAGTTCTGGAGCACTTTTAAAGCAAGTGGTGTGTAAAGTTTTAATAATCCATTCACTTCACATGCGTCTGACAGTTGAAGATTTTTACCTTTTGTTTTGAATGCAGAATGCTCAAGGTGCGTTGGCATACAGGTCTTTATGACAGCTGTTGAGTGATTGAATAGATGTTGGTTTATCCTCTGTCGTTTAGCAATGAGAATATGAACACTGAGATACATCTACTGAAGTAGTATGAACTACTGATTGCTATGTGATGGAAGAGCTTCTAGAGAAATTGGTAAAATCTTGGCTGGGCTTTGAAGACCACAGCTAAAGTGAAGTTGAGACTGTGCCCAGTCTTCACTGTGTAACAGATTCATCCTCTTCACGTGTCAGTTGCCTGCATCTTGTTAGTCCTGCTCTGTTGCAGTAAGAATGCGATTTCACTTATTTTTGTCCTACCAGTTGTATCATTCTTGTTGTCTTGTCCTCTTTTGTGGATTACAGAGATATGTGGGAAAGTTGTACGTAGGCCACTGCCACAGAAACGGGATTTACTACTGGCCTGATGGTTCCAAATTCACAGCTCTTTATCTTGGCTGTGTAGAAGGCTATGGGACGCTGGAATGGAAGGATGGCAGAAAATTTCAGGTAACTGGGAAATTGCTGTGCTAATACTGCAATTCCCGTGCCTTTCAAAGTCAGCAGTGTTTTGCTTTGGTTTGGTTTTTTTATTTATTTTTTTTTCGAGTCGCTCCCTTAGTGTTTTAGTTCTTTAGAGCAAAATTGTCATGCTTTGATCTGCCATGATTTAGGATGCTATTTCAACAGCTTAGCTTCTGCTGTACTCCACTTTTCCACGGGGAAATGTTGAAGGAGGTGATAATAGGATCATTTGAGCTGGAAAAGGCCCTTAAGACCATCAAGTCCAACCATTAACCCAGCACTGCCATGTCCACCATTAAGTGGTGTACATCCGTTAAGTGCCACATCTACATGTCTTTTTAAATACCTCCAGGATGGTGACTCTACCACTTCCCTGGGCAGGCTGTTCCGAGGCCTGACCGCCCTTTCAGTGAAGAAATGTTTCCTAATATCCAGACTAAACCTCCTGTGGTGCAACTTGAGGCCATTTTCTCTTTTTACTCTGCAAAAGAGACCAACCCCCACCTCACTACAGCCTTCTTTGAGGTAGTTGTAGGGAGTGATAAGGTCTCCCCTGAGCATCCTTTTCTCCAGGCTAAACACCCCCAGTTCCTTCACCACACTTGTGCTCCAGGCCTTTCACCAGCTCCATTGCCATTCTCTGGACCAGCTCCAGCACTTTAATGTCTTTTTTGTAGTGAGAGGCCTGAAACTGAACACAGTATTTGAGGTGCAGCCTCGCCAGTGCTGCCTGGGAAAGTTTCTTGTTCACGTATCTAATGTATATAATTTTGGTACTTATTCTCCTTCTTTGATGAAGAGCTTATTTGTTAGACAGTACTCTCAAAAGGCATATTAGGATGCCAGCAGTAAGAAACTGGAAAAGTACTGCATATTAGAATGCCAGCAGTAAGAAACTGGAAAAATACTGCATTTTAGGAAACTGTGAAGATAGCACTCTGAAGTTTCCAGGTAGCTGGTTGGCTGTTGGGCATCATTTTCAGCCCTGATGTTGCTAGTAGAAGCTGGAAATCTTGTTTTCTAAGATCGTGCAGTCCTTCTTCATTTTCCTAAGAGGTATAGCTGAAAAGTCCCAAGTGTAGGAGAGCAGTGCCCACCTGTTCCTGCTGATCCCTGGGTATCTCTGCAATTCATCAAATAATCTAAAACATAGAGAGAAACAATGTAAGAGTCTTTGCATTTAGAGGATCAATCAACACTGAGGAGACATCAACAAGTCTTTGCATTTAGAGGATCAATCAACACTGAGGAGACATCAACAAGGACACAGCATTCTTGCTCAGTGTTGATAATGTGGCATTAATTACAGATTCAGGAGAGCTTTAGTTTGGGTATATGATGTAAAATCTAAAGCTAGGGGAAAAAGAGAGACACTTCAGATCATAACCATACTCAGAATTTTATGCTTGCCAGCATATTCTGCCAGTGATAGTGCTTTTCTCCTACTCGTTTATCTTTGTAGCTAAACAGTTCAGTGTGACGTTGCTGATTTTTGCTCCAAATGGCTGTTTTGAGGTTGTGATAGCTTCGTGTGAACCTGTCTTGAGCCATCTGTGGACACTCAGAGATCATCTAATTAAACTATGTACTGAAGTACCTGGTTATTTTTCTGTCTTGGATTATCCAGCACACTGCAGATACATTGATGACAGATCTCAGAAGGAGTATATTTCACTTGAGGAAGACCCATTTCTCCATAGCTATAAACATCTCCCTTTTGATGATAAGGATATTTTACCTGAAGGAGTCTTTGCATATTCCCTTAACATGGATCATCTTGCTTTGACTCACTCCTTCCTGGAAGAGTGTGATGCTCTGTATTTTCAGAACACCTGGAAGCTTTCTGAGGAGGACCCTTGGCATGTTAGAATGCAGATGCATGTGTATAAGCACAGGTAACTGTTGATGGTTTGTTTATTATGTGTGGGTTTTTATCAGTTACTATCCATGGGTGTTCATTATTTTCGAATTTGCGTTGCAGGATAAAAGCTGCACTCCAGATTGGGTTTTGTGGCCTTGAGATTACAAGTTGTCAATAAGGTTGTTTTTTTTTTAAAAAAAGGAAGCAAATAACGTATTCACCTCTCAATTTATAGATTTTATTCCTTTAAGTTAAAGGTTAGGTTTCTCCTGGTCACATCTAGAAAAATAATCCCATTACTCATTACCAAGTCAGGGTTTGTGGAAGTCCAGTTTTGAAAAGAATTGGGAGTCAAGGGCTGTGGAGACCTGTTCTGATCTTCGCTGTCCTGAGAGTGTAGTCTTGCATGGAAATAAAAATACGGAGAAGCATAGTGCCAGGTTTTCGAAAGTACTGAAAATGTGGCTGTTGATAACTCGCTGTGGTTGTCTTGACTCTTGTTCTTCTTCAAGGCTATACAAAATACGCTGTAACAAAAAAGTCTACAGCCAGTAGAACTGCCAACTGCACATCAGTTTTTATGTAGCTTGATACTTGTATGCGGAGATGCTTTTTGAGCCCACAGAGTATTTCCTTATTTGCTTTTCTGATAGGAACACAAGCTACATATGTATATTTTATAGTCAAAGCAGGCGATGAAAATTAAATCATAAACAAATGTCATGACTCTGCATGCTAAATTGGTTCATAAAAACACATGGAAGTTACATTTTGTTTTCTTATCCATCCATCAAACATCTAAAATACTTTTAACTTGTCTACATAAAAGCTGTATGCTACTGCCAGCACCCCATTAATATAAGCAAGCTCACACTATCTAAAATAGCTCTTAAAATGATAGCTAGCCTTATTTTCCCATCTTGCTGACCAGCATATTTTATTCTTGATGCATTTTCTGTAACTGCAGTAGTGGTCTGAGAGTACCTGGCTGCTTAAACGGAGTCAGTCAAATGGAGTTCAGTTCAGATGTCAGCTTCATTCTCAGCGGAGCCCGCAATGCTTACGGGCCTCCACGCCCCAGAGAACTTGCCTCGGAGCAGCTAATTAAGAAGGCAGCAAGAGGAGAATATGATGGGGTCTGTTTGATTCTGAGGAACGGGCTTGCTCATCCAGACGTAGCTGACAAGCGTGGATACACAGCACTTGCTGCTGCAGCTGCAAGATTCTAAGCATGACTCTTTACCACATGATAAGAAAATTCCTGGGGTAGTAGGCTGGATTAAATTTTTCTCTTGTTTCTTTACATAGTACGAAGGAATGTTCAACAAGCAGGAAAACCAGAAAAGCGGTGTGGCATGAGTAGTGTCCGTAATGACTGGTATCGTGCCAACCCCTGTGGTGAATAAATAACCTAAAAGAAGCCCTTCAGTAAATATTAGCAGTGATTTCGAATGCCAGGTTTGATTTCAGGTTGTGATTATGCGGTGTTACGTTCTTGGATGTGACTGTGCCCTTATTATTTTTTCTCCTATTTGAAATCAGATGCACACAGAGTTGTTTTGGTTTTGCTGAAAAGTGGTGGTGGCTGAAGCTATGCGTGTACAACTCCGATTTCTGTCGGAGGGGGATGCAGTCTCTCCCCCTGCCTTTTTTCTTTGTTTTGCTGTCAGCTGTACTCAGTATTCACTGTAAATGCCAAGCAGAAGCTAGATAATTTCAAACGCTGTATTTCTCCTATAGCCATCTCAGTCATTTCTAGTCTCTCTGTGCACGAATCCTCGATGAATTCCTGCAAAATCCATTAGTTTAAAATTAACCAAAAAATGTTCTGTTCTGAACCCTGTAAGACATTGAGCTTCTGTTTTGAGGAAAATATAAATGTGAATTAGACAAACAGTGTAGAGCATCATTACCTCAAAATTGTGTTGTCAGTTCTGTCCATGTCCCACGCTAGAAGTGTGTGCAAATATGGATGTTTCCCCTCTACAGGTTCATTCCCATAATGCTGTTGTCAATCTTCTTCTTCATAGTGGAGCTGATGTGAGTAAGTGTAGTGATGAAGGATTATCTGCTCTCTCCATGTGTTTTATTCTCATTTATCCAGAAGAATCTTTTAAGGGTAATACTGCTGAGAGGAGCTTGCACAGTTACAAGGTTTGTTTACTTCTAATCTAAAATAACAGAATCATAATGCATTATTTTGTCAACCTGTAAGCTTGCTTTTAAAATTTACTGTATATACTCCCTAGGACAAACTCAGAAGTTTAATACATTTTGCACTCTGAGACTGCAGAATAATCTCTGCTCTCACTGCTGACTCCTAACTCGAAGGAACATGCCCCTGTGCAGTTAGTTACAAGCTTACTCAGCAATTGAAATAAGGCACTGTGTCCATAGCAGAATGCGAGGCTATGCTGGCGAGGTGTTTAACACGGTGAGGATGCAGTGGGAGAGTTAATGGGAATTACAAAAGTGTAAGTAGAACAGTAGGATGTAGGTGATTCTCCTGGTGCTAGGTAACCTTGCTGGCATCATGGAGGTGGCTACTAAAAAGCAATTGTTCTGTCAGAAGTCTGCTGATGCTTGGGGAGTACTCAAAAAGGAAGAGTCGTATCCCTAACCTTTCTTCTGCCACAAAATGAAACACCTGCTCTTGCTTCCTGTGTAGGAACAGGATATGAATTTTGTAAGAGTACAAACATGGGAATGGGAAAGCAATGAAAGCAAGGATGTCGGGAATCACCAGCCAGGATGAGAAAACGGCTGAAAAAGGGGTCTGGGCAGGAACTGTGTGGTCTTAGAAGTGTTTCAACGTAGTCTAGAAATGGAAAGGGTGCCTCTGGGACTTTCGCATGAGGTTAGACAGATTAGGCCCATGCTTCGAGGAAACTTGTTGGAAATTAAGTCCCAAGTAATCCTTGGTTGCTCTGAAGTCACTCTTCCAGTGCCAAGAGTATGATCATGTGATCATGCGAAACACTGCTGAAGTTGCAAGGCAATTATGGGAAAGGGAGAAGGGGAGTGAGAGAGAGCTGCTGCTGGAAACTGCACAGAAAATCAGTGTAGAGCTGGTAACTCTCATAGTACTTTCTTTTTTTTTTTTTAATCTTTAAGTGGACTGAAAAATCAGAATCCTCAGAAACTGTCAGTGATGCTGAAGGCATAATGTCAGAGTAAGTCTCATGCGCTAGGAATGGGAGACCAACTCTCATAAATGGTTTTGCAAAAAGGAGGTAACATTTTTTCACATATGTCACATAAGCGTGCATCCATTGCAAGGAAAGATATTTTTTGATTGTTTAACTGTACAAATCTTGCTTTCAAGTAGAAACCACTAATTGTTTATACACTCTAATGTGGCTCATGGCAGCAGCGACAAAGATTATAAGTTGAAAAATGCAGTTCAAGCAAAGGACATCGTGCTTGAGCAAGACGTCTTGTTAGAAGAGTGTGAAAAGCTTCTAAATATGCCATGGACACTTGCAGTGTAGTGCAGAGCTGAGGAAGGAGAATATATTTGTTTGTTACTTGAAGTCTTGACTGCATATGAACTTGCTTGTTGTGTTCTGCAAGTGTCTGTTCAGCAGTGATAACTGAAACGTAGGCCAACTGTTTCGCATCTGTGGATCTTTGAAAGGGGCACTTTTTGCTTTGCTTACAGAGCAGTCACCAAAGATGTCAAAATTTTTGTGTGGGTTTTATGGCAGTGTAGGTCATTTTGACATCTCAAAACCCCCAGACTGAAAGTTCATGGTTGGCCTTCTGACCTTCATCCCTTACTTGTGCCACATTTTACTTTTGTGGCACATCCTCCCACCTCCCATGATTCTTGTTGTCTGAAATAGTGTGCATACTGCATATCGTTCATTGGAATATAGAGATCCGCTGAATGTAGGGCTTGTGGGTAAAGCAGAGTTACTACAATACCTGAAAAGATGAGTATACCGTGAGAACACTTTGTGATGCAATTTCTGGGTGATATCCAAGTATTGGTGATATCCAAGTGCTGTTTGCTTTATTTTGTTGGGGTGTCAGATTCTTTTGTGTGTGTGTGTGTGGATAGTTTGCCTCCATAGAAATGCAGATGGCACCTGGAATATACTGTCCTAATCTAGCATAGCTCCAGTGCCAGCTTTTGTTTAAGAGAAACACTGTACCTTTGTTTTGTTGGGATGGATGGGTAAATGAAGTTTACTTGAGGAAAGAAACTTCCAAGCAGTCTTTGATGGCAGGAAGGAGGACTCTGTTTCTTTCATTAAACAATACTAAGATTAAATGTTTTACAAGTCACATGTGAGATGGGTGAAGATGCAGAGAACCTTGCCTAGCTTCTTTTATCTGTCCCCATGCTGCAGCTTTTCATGACTGCAGAGGATGCTCTTTGCATGCCACTGCTTTAGTTTAGAGGGCTGAGATACACTGACTGTACCATCTCCTCTTCAGGTCATAATATTGTTGCCTGCTTGGGGTATGACAGTTGTGATGTGGTCCTAAAAACTGCCATGTCTTCCCTCTGCTAAGTGACAGTTATAGTCTATTACCTGCAAGCCATTTTAGTCCACTAGCTTTTAGAGTTTTCTTGGAAAGTGCCAAGATGTTATTCTGGTATTTTCTATGTCAATTCTAGACGACAGAAGAGATGGGAAACAATCCAGCTACTGCTTCGTCGAGGTGCAGATCGCAGCGCATCCTGGGCCCCACCACACCTCCTGTTCTTTGCTGTTAAAGGTGCAGATGCAGAAGCAGTGGAACTCCTCTTAAAAAGGGGAGCCAGGTCTGATGTGCGGCTTCCATCGAAGGTTTTACTGAATGGTAATTCATAATAATGGGATTCTAGATGTGTACTGCAGCTTCAGTGCCCTACCGTAAAATATCTTGCACGTCAGAATCAGCTTTAGAACGGCCAGAAAGCTGTTTAAAGCAATTATCCTATTCAAAGATTTATTTTTTTTTTTTTAGTAGAAAGAACTCAAAGCTCCTTACTGTCCAAGTATTTTTTTCTTATTATGTTTTCTGGTTGCCAAGCTTGTGAGTGGTTGAGGAATATTTGCAAAGCTGCTCCTCACGTTGGTTACAGCTGTTGTGATATTTAACAGGCTAAGCGTCTGGGGCCTTTAGTATTCCACAGTCTTATAAGTCCGGGCTCTAGATTTCTGGTGGCCATTCTGAGGCACAGCATATGGGAAGAGTGAGCTTGGATTATTCTTAAAATACTATTTATCACTACTTAAGTGCTGCTTCTGGTAAACAGGAGTCTTAATGCTATGTTTGTGTTTTCAGTTAGGGGGGTTAACTCCTCTCCACATGGCTGCCTCGATTCCTGGGGAGGAAGGGGTCCAGGTAACCCAGTACCTCCTGCATTCTGCCCCAGATCTTAATGCAAGGGCAGAAGATGGAAATGAGATAAATGGTCCAGACAAGGTATGTTGCTTTTTGAGCTCATCTTTCAGCTCTTGAAATTCAGATTGCAGAGGACCTGAGCAGGCAGTTGAGATTACTGCCTGCCTGTTCTTATAGTGAAAGCTTTGCATTTCACTGAAAGAACCTTAAAAAAAAAGAAAACCAACCCCCCCCAAAACCCCCAAACTAAATTCACTTTGAGGTCTATTGTATTAAGTTGTAAATAACACATCCTTCTGGTGCCCCAGAACACTCTGCTATCATGTCTTTTATATAAGACAGAGTCTTATATAAGACAGAGGTTTCTTATGTGTAGTCCAGTACAAATCATAAAATCATTGAATCATAGAATAGTTACGGAAAGGACCTGAAAATCATCTAGTTCCCCCCCCCTGCCATGGGCAGGGACACCTCACCCTAGATCATATCACCCAAGGCTCTGTCCTGATTTCATCAGGTTCCATGGGCTTGCGCACGTTCAGGTTCTTAAGATGATCTTGAACCTGATCCTCTCCTACAGTGGGCCTAAGGTCTTCATTCTCACAGTCCCTGTGTCTGCCTTCCAAGACTTGGGCAGCGTGGTCAGAGCACTTGCTGGTGGAGACTGAGGCAAAGAAGTCATTGCAAACCTCAGCCTTCTCGAAATCCAGGGTAGCCAGTTCTTCTGATAGTTTCTGGAGAGGGCCTACATTATCCCTAGTCTGTGTTTTGTTTGCTCCATACCTATAGAAGCCCTTCGCGTTATCTTTCACATCCCTTGCCAGATTTAATTCTAACTGGGCCTTAGCTTTCCTAACCTGGTCCCTAGCTTCCCGGACGATGTCCCTGTATTCTGCACAGGCTGCCTGTCCTTGCTTCCACCTTTTATAAGCTTCTTTTTTCCTTCTAAGTTTTCTCAGCTGTTTCTTATCCACCCATGGAGGTCTCCTGGCCTTCCTGCCACATTTCCTTCTAGTCCTTACACAACACTCCTGAGTTTGTAGGTCAGGATACAAGCATCCCTTTCCTCAAGCCGGTTGATCGTTGAATATAGACCAGCAGTCTTGGGCCCTCCTGCCCTTCAGGGCTTTATCCTGTGGAACCTTACTAAGCAGGTTCCAGAAGAGGCCAAAGTCTGCTTTCGTGAAGCCCAGGGCAGTGAGCTTGCTGTATACCCTTCTTACTGTCCTGAGGATCTCAAACTCAACCATCTCGTGATTGCTACAGCCAAGGCTGCCCTGGAGTATCCCTTTCCCAACCAGCCGCTCCTTGGTGAGTACAAGATAAAGCATGGCACCTCTCCTTGTTGGCTCCTCTATTACTTGCAAGAGGACGTTGCAGATGCAGAGGATCACCGTGCCGGACAGGCAAGGGCTCTGGTGCCATGCAGACCCCCAGGATCACCGTGAGGGCTGGGCAGGGCTCCGGGAGGTTTCAAGGCATCCTGTTGTAAGGGATTCTGGGTGCCCTATGGATCTCACAAGAGCCAAGCCCTATCCTAGGCTTACTGGGGTCTCCAATTCCCTTCTCCTTCCCCAGGTCTCTGCAGAGAGAGACACTGGGGACAAGGCCCCTCTCATGTGCCAGCAGACACCATGGGCGACTGTTTCATTTTGGGATCTGTTTTTCAGGACCGGAAGTGGTGGTGACATCCTTATCGTGTCCCCCTCCAGCGGCATGAGGAGGTGGTCGTCCCTGGAGGACCCCACCTGAGCCCTGGGGAGCCCTGGGCCATTTCCCTCTCATGATCAATAAACCCGTTCAGCAAAGCTGCGCTCTGTGTGCCTGTGTCTGTGCCCCCTCTCCTCTGCCAGCGGCCGCATGCCTGGATCCTCTCTGGCTGCATCACCACAGTGAGCAGCGTGGCTGAGGGAGTGTGGGCTCCTGTGGTGTCTGTGTAAAGGAGATTCCCTTCCCACACACCGTGTGCCCCAGGTAAGGGCAGATGAGGGCAAACTGGAGTGTCCCTCTGTCCTGATTTAAATACAGCTGGTAACTCAGCACCAGGCAGCCGCTCGCCCATCCCCTGGTGGGATGGTGGTGGGAATCGGAAGAATAGAAAACCTGTACGTGGAGGTAAGAACAGTTTAATAATTGAAAGCAAGTAAAATACAGTGATAATATAAATAATACCAACAATAACAGAAACTGTAATAATTTAGGGGAGAATTCTCTGGGTGAAACCTGATGCATTTCTCACAGAGCACCCTGAAACTGCCTCTTCTCTGGTTTCAGGAAGACTTTTGGCAGGTCCCTTCCCTGAGCTCTGGTACTTTATGCTGAAATTGGGCTAGGATAAAGCCAATAGCCTTCCTTTGGGCACTTCAGAGTGCACACAGCTTGCAGGGTTAACTCCTGTAAGTGACAATTGCTGTTTTGGTTTGAGGTGCTTTGCAGTCTTTCAGAAAATACCCCCACACAACACTTCCTCCAGCAAAAGAGATAACTTTTTTTTTAATTCTAAAGGAGAAATCCAGATGTTCCAAATGGAAGGTACATGTCTTCTAGATATGATGCTGTGTGTAGCTTGTGGCACAGGTTCACAGACTGGACTTTTGAGCGTGAAGAAAACAGAAGCTACATCTTACTGATGCCCCCAAACTGACAAAACATGCTTTACTGGAATTCCTCTGCTCAGCCAACGGCTCATAGAGAGCATGTATCTTCTCCAGTGGGAGGTCTTGTACCATGCTGTTAAAGGATGCTGCTATACACTTATTTAGGCTACCCAGAGGGATTAATTTATCAGCTTTTTCTTCTTCTTGCTGCTGTAGACCCTGTCTTTTGGTTATTTCTGAGCACTGTAGTAGAACCAGAGAGCTGGAGGATCTCCAGTTAGGTTTGTGTTTTCACCACCAGTCCCTAGGGTGAGGAATTCAGCAGGGCTGTTGCTAAAGAGCAGCAGCTTCCATAACAAAAAGTAGAGGAAAACCAAAACCTCGTTCCAAAACATACTGCATGCAGCAGGCCTTGTCCTCAGCAGACTTCTCTTTAAAATCCAGAGAGGAGGTATGTCTTGCAGTTACCCTGGAAGTGAGTAATTTGGGAATTTCTGACATAAATAAAATTACAGTGAGCAGTTCTAGAAATGGCTTGATTTTTTTTACATGCTGGCAAGTCATTCGTATTCCTGCAAGGGTCAATATGCCTTCCCACAGAGCAACAGTGAGCCGTGTTTTAATATAAAGTAGCCTCTTCTTTTTCTAAAAGATGAATGAAGGAGACATTTGAACACTGACATTTTATACAGTCTCTTGTATTCAGTTTTGGAATACCTGCTCTCTCTTTTGGCCTCCGACATTCCCTCTGCATGGCTCCTCTACTACTTCCAATGTGAGTCTAATAAAAAACACTCCCCAAGAGCTGGTCTCTTGCCTTCAGCTGCAGTGCGAGGGTGAGTGCATGGCTGAGGATGACTGTCTGTCTTCATTCCATGTCTGTGCCGCAGCCAAAACCCAGCAAGGTGAGGACGAAGGGAGAGGAGCAGCGTGAGCAAGGCAGAGAGCTCTGAGAGCATCATGTCACTTGAGTGGAGCTAAACACTGCCCTGTGAATGCAGCACAGCCCTTCTCTACATGCTCTCTCCCAGGCAGGGCTGTGTGTCCCGCAGGAACAGGGGTTTCGCCAAGGACACAGCCCATCTCAACACTCCCCTTTGCAGTGCACACAGGTGGCTTCTCTGAAGGGTGTAGCCAGAAGCGCAGATGCTCTGCATGACCTTTGCCATGGGTTAAATGCCACAGACAAGTCCCCCGGAACACCAACAGTTAAGGAGAGAGAATCGCAAATTACAGTCTGAAAGACTCCTAGAATCTTGGAAGTCGGGGACCTCTTTGAATAGGAACCTTGTGATGTTATGGGATGTGCTCTGGTGACGAAGCTTGTGCTCGCTGCTGGGGGGACCCACAGAGAAAAGGCTGAGTGGGAGGAGGGCTCAGGACTCGCCCTGCTCCCCTGGGACAAGCCCTGTCTCAACGGGTCTCCCAGAGCTGCCCTGGGACAGGACCTTCCCTCAACCCTCAGGTGTCACGCAGCAGGCAGGAGCACACAGACAGGGGCTGTCCCTGGCTTGGACAGGAAGAACTGGTGAGATGAAGCTCCACTCTTGGGCCCAGGACCTTGCTGCTCTCCCCGCAGACCCCAGCGCAGGGGGTCAGCCATGGGTGGGGGAGTGTCGTGGTTTAAACCCAGTCAGACAGCTTTTTCACTCACTTCCCCCCCCTTCTTGCTCTCCCCCTACTCCCGGAGGGACAGAGAGGAGAATCGAAAAGAATGCAACTCCCACGGCTTGAGATAAGAACAGTTTAGTAACTAAGGTATAACACAGATCACTGCTGCTACCACCAATAACAACAATGATAAAGGAAATAACAAGGGAAGAGAATACATCACCTCACCACCAGCCGACCGATAACTCACCCCCCAGGCCCGACCAAGCACCGACCCATACCTCCTCCCACCCTGCAGTCCCAGCCCTTCCGGCTAACTCCCAGTTACATCCTGGGCATGACGTGCTGTGGTATGGAATACCTCTTTGGTCAGTTTGGGTCAGGTGTCCTGTCTCTGCTTCCTCCCGGCTTCCCCTCCTCCCTGGCAGAGCATGAGGCTCACAAAGTCCTTGGCCAAACCAAAACATCGCTATCAGCTCTGTTCCCAGGCCGAAAGTCAAAACACAGCACTGCACCAGCTACCAAGAAGGAGAAAAATGACTGCTACTGCTGAACCCAGGACAGGGAGTAAGGGGGAAAAGCCTGGCAGATGTGCCCCATGGAGGGGAGCCACTGAACATGGGCAACTGAACCTTGCCTGCTTCTTCCATGCTGAGCTGTAACCGATCTCCTCATACATGGCCTCAGGGAAGGGCTCCCAAGCTCTCCCAGAGCTTCTGGACAGTGGCAGAACTGTCCCAGAACAGGCAGAGTGGGGACAGGAACCCACTCTGCTCCACCAGCTTTGGTCCTTTGGGCATTGCCTTAGCAGAGGGAAGTGACAAAGTCCCACAGTGTGCAGCCGAGAACTGGGGAACCCTCTGGCCCA